ATCCAACCAATAATCGACAAAAGTTAACCAAAATGCAGATCCATTTTTCAAAATCGTTGTCCGTGAAATTCAAACTCTAGACCTGCCACTTGGGGTGACAACTCTACCACTTCACTAAGTCGCCACACCCTAAAATTAATCTTTGTTTAAAGTTTTAGTTATATTTAAAATACTACAAAATTTTGTAAAATTCAAATAAAGATATCTTATTAACTATCTAACTAAAACTATAAAGTTTTTTATTTTAATTTTTAATCAAAATAAGATAAAATATTTTTATTCAAAAATTTGAAAAAATTTAAATACTTATTAAAACAATGTAGTGAAAAAATTTTATAAACTTTAAACAAAGATATTTTATTAAAAATTTAACTAAATTTGATAAATTATTTTTATTTTAATTCTACAGTTCTGCAAAATAAAAATAAAATAAAATTTTATCAATTTTAATTGTATTTAAAGTTTTAGAAACTTTTAAAACACTTATTAAAATAATAATCATAGCAGTATTTTGTAAATTATAAAGATATCTTATTAATTAACAAACTAATACTAATAAAATTTTTATTTGATTTTACAGAACTTTAAAATTAAAATAAAAAGTTTCATCAAATTTGATTAGATAATTAATAAGATATCTTCATTTAAAGTTTTAAAATATATTCAAAATACATATCAAAATAATAGCTATTTCAAATTTTGTAAGCTTTTAATAAAGATATCTTATTAACCACCTAACCAAAATTTATAATCAAAATAAAAAATTTTATCAATTTTTATTAAATAGTTAATAAGATATCTTCATTCAAAGTTTTAAAAATAATAGTCATATGTATCATTATAAATAATTAACTGATAAAATTGCGCGAATTTTATATATATTAAAGAATGCATCAAGAATGTAACTCAAATTTTGCAGATATATCAATTTTGAAACTTTTGCACCGCTGGGAAAAGTTTCCGGACACCTACTGTTCACATGATTTTTGCACCTATCAAAATAAATTAACCAATTAAAACTAACACAACCCTAACCTTAACATTCAATAGGTGCAAAATCATGTGAACTGAAGACTTTCTTGTCTGCTGGAGCAAACCATTCGTTTTTGATACTCCTGCACCTACTTTTCAGATTCCAGTAAAAAGTAAAAAATTTTAAATACTTTGAGAAGATATCTCACCAACTTTCTGCTTTAATCTGATAAAACCTTTTCAATTTGAATTCAATGGATTCGTAGAATTCAAATAAAAAAAATCTCATCGAATTTTGCCATATGGTTGTCGAGATATCTTCGCTCAAAATTTGAGAAAATCAAAATGCCAATCAAAATAAGAGCTGCACCAAATTTTTCTTGAACCTTGAGCGAAGATATCTCGATAACCATTTTTTGTTTGAATTCTATATATTCATAAATTCAATAAAAAAATCTCATCGAATTTAGTCAAGTGGCTATCGAGATATCGTCACTCAAAATTAGAAAAAAATCAAATCGCTTATTAAAATTAACCATAGTAATAGACCGGCAGTTCCTCAATTTTGATTGGCTAACGGCTGAATGTCTTCAAAATTTTGGCCCACATTACAAAATTGTTTACTAATTTCCGGCCGAAATTAACTTTTTAATTTTTTTCATAAAATAAGCCCGCATTATGGTAAATTGGCACAGGAACGATTTTCACTTAATAGGCAGCTATGATTTCATTAGTAAAATTATGAGTAATTCCGATCTAATTTTGACCATTGCTTTTAGCCAAACAAAATAAAGAATCTTACGGTCCGCGGCAGCTATGGTTTATACTGTATCAAAAGCTACGCAAAATTTTTTCTCTAGCTTTGAGCGAAAATAGTTCGATAATGACCTGACCAAATTCAATAAAAATTTTTTCTTTCAATTCTATAGATTTATACAATTTAATTAAAAAAGTTTTCATTGCATTTAGTCAAGTGGGTGTCGATATATCTTCGCAGAGAGAAATTTTGGTGCAGATTCTATTTTGATATACATTTTGATTTTTCTCTTTGAGCGAAGATATCTCAACAACCACTTGATTAAATGCGATGAGATTTTTTTATTTTAATTCAGTGATTCCATAAAATTCAAAGAAAAAAAGTTTTATCGAATTTAATCAAGTGGTTGTCGAGATATCTTCGCTCAAAGTTATAAAGAAAATTTGGTGTAGCTTCTACTTTGATAGGCGTTTTGATTTTTCTCTAATTTTGAGCGAAGATATCTCGATAGCCACTTGATTAAATTTGTAATAATTTTTTTTATTAGAATTGTAAGAATCCATAGAATTCAAATAAAAAAAGTTTTTGCCGAATTTGGTAAGGTGGTTATAAAGATATCTCCGCTCAAAGTTAGCTCTTATCTTAATGGACGTTTTGATTTTTCTCAAATTTTGTGCGAAGATATCTCGACAACCACATGGCTAAATTCGATGAAATTTTTTTTATTTGAATTCTATGAATCCATAAAATTCAAATTAAAAAGGTTTTATCAGATTAAAGCGGATAGTTATCGAGATACCTTCGCTCAAAGTTTTTAAAACTTTTATTTTTACTGGGATCTGCACGCCAATCAGTATCAAGAAAGTAGATGCAGGAGTATCAAAAACGATTGCTTTGCCGCTGGGGTAGTCCCCTGCTCACAGGTAATCACATGTAATTATCATATCAGATAGATCATTAAATTTACGCGCCAAAATTAGTTCTTGGATATGTAACGAAGTAAACAAAATTCGGGATAACTTGCCCATAGACACCTTAAACTGCCAGATTTTCACTTAGCAGATGAAAGGTAGGCGTGACTTATTCATGTTTCTTTAAGAGCTATTCATTGTTAACTTCTATATTCAGCTTGCCCTTCCAGATTGGAAAAAACATTTCAGTTAAGGAGTATACCGATTTTCTTGATCGTAACGAATCGTCAGAATATAAATTTCACTTTGATAAAAAAAACTAAAATGGCGCACGCACCACATGGACGTGTTATATCATATCTTCAAGCATGTTTCAAAGAACCAAATAATAGAGTAAAGCTTGGACCGATAGTAGTTTCTGGTCAATCTTGTAAGAGATTTTTCATTTAATTCTATTTTCTGGGGCTTGTAACAAAAATACACAATTTTCCAATAGACCATTACGATCCAATCGGAATTGGAGCTCCAGGTATTGCAGTTTATCCAAGAGAGAATCTTGCACAACGAGCATATCCATATCCTGATTTTCCCCGCAGTGACTTCAAAGTACTTTAATATTTCATTATCATAATACTTATTTTTAAGATAATTTCTAATTAAAATTACACAGAGAAATTCCCATGCAAGAATAATTTGCGAAGTTGCCAATACTTAAAAAATTGATTTATGGAATACAAAATGCGAAACGTGGATGCCTGAGGAATGCGTTCGCTGTGTATTTGGAGTTAAAATTTATCCTAAAATAAATATCAAAAGAATTGTTCATCAGGTAATAATAGTATGTCCTATATGTTTAACATCTATTCATTATCCGATTAGTTTCAACTTTGATTTTTTTTTTATATTAGGTAAGATTATGGGTACGTCAAGCACTACCAGGTGGTGTATTATCCTCAAATGCAGCTTTAGCAGGAAATGAAAGGAGGTAATATTAATTTACTGTTGTATTTTTGTAATCAGATATCCGGATTAAGATAATTTTTGCAAATGATAGTGGGAATGCGAAACTATACATCATAATACTCATGATCAACCGATTGTAATGATCCGAATAATAATGAATTTCAAGTTACTATCCCTGTTAGAGATGCCTTTTGGGATCTCCAACCTTGGATGGAGTTCCAAATGTTGAAGGCTATAATTCAGTGGTGCCCGATACTGTTGTTGGCGAAAATTTTGTTATTGGCTTATATGATATACAACAAGAAGTTCTTAATGTAAATTAAGGTAAATTCATTATTATTTGAAGTATCAAGCGAATAAATAAATTATTTTTATCATAAATTTTAATTGCTTTTAAAAAAAACAATGCATCTGTAGCAATTTCGATTCGGTTGAAAACAAAAAAAATAACTCGCAAAGATTCATTAATATATTTTTTTCATCATTACAAATAAAGCATATTTTCTGTGATTAAACACGAGTTGATCGTGCATTTATTATATATTATAATACTGCATATAAAAAAAAATCAAACTCGAGATCGTATTTTTCTAACCTGAGATGATGCTACCGCATCTATAGATTCTGGGCGTTGCTCATTAAACCACCATGTATCTGAACTCCTACGTTCTATATATATATATATATATTAATTGTATTAATAAATATCAAGTAAAATTTGTTTACATAGTCAAGGCACAGGGTCACGGAAATTATATGATTTAGTGTGATTAAACCAAATCGCACTAAATCGCATAATTTTACATCATTTATATTATATGTATTCATTAACAGTTTGATTCAGCCTGTATATTAAGACCGATTAATAGTATGTTAAAATGTGAAATAAATTATTTTTTAGTGGTATATACGAGTAAATTAAATAGCGCATGTTAAAAAAATTTATTATTTTTTTGTATGGATCTAGAAAGAATTACATTGAAAACGCTTGAATATAAAGATGATTCGATAGAAAGGATGACAAGGATTTTTTTGTCAATAGTTAATTTTCTCAATTCGTTTTTATTATATAAATTCTAATTCAGCTCAATTAAAGATTGTGATTTTTAGAATGAGCAGTTAGGATAACAGTCACAAAAAGGGCTAGAGGCAAGTCATGAAAGAACAAGCTTTATTTCGTAAATGCGTCCAGTCGGGACAAGCGATATAAAAAATGGTTTAGAAAATATAATTTTTACATATAATTTAATAGCATTTAATCGACATATTATTTAAATGATGATACAGAAATTAAGCCAAAAATAAAAACTAAAGCAAAATATAAGATAGACAAATAAATTATTAAAGTTTATTTAATTAAAGATGTCTCGTTCAATGACGGTATAAAATTAATTAAATTATTCCAACCAAGTTCCATACAAGCTCCAAAACCCTATTAAAAACATCATTAAAAACCATCCCTCTTCCAAACCTCCGACATTTATCCTGCCATATGACCTATAAGCTGATGCAGTAGATGTACCATTATACCCGCTAGCATTATGTGTAATTGCACTAACAAACGCACATGCAGACCTAATAGAATCTACAGATGGAGGTATATCATTCGAATCCAAAAACTTTTGTGTCTGATTTGTTAATTGAAAACAATACAAACAAAGAGCATAAGCTTTTTGGAATGAGTCTAAGCATGCGCACCGAAGAGCATTAACAAATCGAGAAGGGTCTGAAAGTACGGCACTGAAATTTTGAAAAGCTACGCTGGCACTTGTACACGAATCTACAGAAGAAAAGTTTTGTTGGCATGCCACACATGATGGAATTGTTGGATCGAATGTTAGAGTGTCATGAGAATAAGTTAAAGGAATTATTATAAAAAGAAAGAAAATAGTTAGAAATGGAATTATTGAAATGGTGAATTGTTTATGATAGGAAATTGAAGTCATTATCGATAAGAACTCTTTCAAATCTGCTAATTAATCGTTAAACTGTTAAGAAAAATAAATTTTACGTTACAGGCAACGTACGTAAGGACGTACGTACGCACATAACTGATAAATTTTTACAAGCTGTAAAATAATAAATAATTTTGTGTTGCCTTATCTTCCTCCAGTCTATTTTTGGAACAAATCTTAGGAGTATCGTGTTATAGACTAACGCTAGCATACCTTAAAAACGTTAGCTAATTTGTGAATTGCTAATTTGTGAATTACACGTGAGTGCAATGTGATTCAGGGGCATATTTTCAATTTAACAGTTTAACGTTAAGAACTTAAATATTAATGACATACTGTATCAATGATAAGTTTGTTTGCAAAAATACTACACATTAATCTTGACACGAAGTGTAGAAAAGTCGCAGTAGAAAAGCCACAGTGCAAAATTTTGGCAGTTCCGTGATTACTGTCAAACCAGGTTGAAAAATCAATGTGTAATACAAATTCGAAACCAAGACGAAAAAAAAAAGACAATAAACTGGAAATAACTCATGAATTTGCTATTAAATTAGCTTTTAGTCATTAATTGAAAGTTTCAATGCAAAAATTTAGAAATATGGGGTCTTTGCCTTGAAAATGAGGTTCCGAGGTCCCCCAAACCAAAAATAAGATTTTTTTTAATATTAATCTATAAAACATAAAGCTTATTTTGTACCAATTTTATAGTATGTTAACATAATATTAAAACGGGTTATAGAAGTCCGGATCTTTAGACCAAATTCGGTAGGAAATTTTTCCGAAGATCTAAAAATAGAATGGAAATGATCGACATACCGGATAAACATTTTACCGTTACACAATATTATATATTTTTGTACTACCAGAAATTTGCCTTGAAAATGACCCTACGGGACATTGTTACACAAATTTAATCATTATCCAATCATAAGAAACTTCACTATCATGTGTTACTACCTTATTATAGTTCGCACTTTATATTGTGTACTATGATTTATTTAACTTTTTTTACATTCTTTTCATTTTTCCTTCTATCATATCCAAAATGAGTGAAATAGTGATGATGCAAAAATTTGGCAGACCCGTGATTTTTGTTCAGTCTGATTGTAAGTTCAGTATGTAGCATACAAATGCGAAGTAAAAAAATAAAGGCAAAAAAAACCAGAAATTGAAAAAAACTTTTAAATTTGCAAAAGTTTTCAACACAAAAATTTAGATATATCTTTCTATATACTTTGTATTAATGCAAATATTAATTTTTAGACAAAAATTAGAATATTATTGTTATTGAATTAGTCACGGGACCGCCAAATTTTTGCGTCATCACTATTTTACTCATCCGAAATACTAAAATTATCTGGATATCAAAAATTCTAAGAATTCTGATATTAGCTACAACAGTATCATTGGAGAAGGAAGTCAATTTTGACTTTCACAACGTATAGTACGTTTTAACTAATGTGCATATATTATGTAGACCCTGAAATCGTTTTCAAGCAAGCAAATTTAAAATTTTAGCAAATCAGATTAAACCTAGGAAAATTTTGTAACTTTAAATAGTATGGTACATAACCATTTTTTTTTCACTGTTATTTATTAATGAGGCGTTTGAGAACAGCCTAAATTAATTCTATTGTATTTCTAAGTTAGTACATGCATGTATATAGACAAATGTATTACAGTAATATATTTACAGTATAATGCATGTGGTTTTAAAGATACTGTAATTTTCATCTTTTTTTGGATAGTACAGTAGTAATCTCTTCATGGCAATCTATAGCAATCTAATTCCTGATAAAATCCTGTTACTTTTATACGTAGTAATTACCAAAACTTCATATCGATGGCCAATATACATCTAAGCTTTTGACTGGCATACATATAACAGATAATGCTGAATCAAGGCTATAAGTATGACTTTAGCTATATAGTATAGAATAAGAAGTACCAGCATCTTTTTAGAACTTAAAAGTAAACCTGCATTATATGTAACCTGTTCTCCCAATAATAATAATGTAGTTAGTATTGTTATTATATGTATATACATTTATACATACAGATGTATCTTTATTAATTCAAGCTTTTAGCTTTATCTTGCATGATATATTATATCGACTAATTGATGCTACTCAAATCATTTTCAGTTGACTCTTATTTAATATTCTTACGTATAATATCTATTTTTTTTTTTAAAAAAAAAAAAAAAGTCACAACAATTAACTGTTAATACTTTAAAGCCTGTTTACAATTTGATTGAATTAGAATTAGATGATTATGAGGAAAATGATCTAGTTCTTGATACAATTCATGACTTAAGTTTATTTTTTGAAAATTCT